TCAGATGAATGCCAGCAGATTAACATATCTAACATGTTGGAGGAAGGCAGGGCTGTTGGATGAAAAACCCCCCAGAAATGATTGTGTCCACATTCAGATCTACAAGCGTGAAATGCAGCAGCATATGGTAGGCGAAGGGGACACATGTACTACAGCCAGAAAAATCACACTCGATTTTCCCGTTCTTTGACTTTCCCGTTTCTGCCTCTCTGTCTTTTCAACTGATTATGTCCTTCTTTCTGTTTCTTTCTTCCTGTTTCACTCTGCCTCTTCCCCTCATTTGTGTCAAACGTGCATGCAAAGTGGCTTATGCAAATACTCATGTACACAAGCATGTAAAACCATATGGATCTCTCATAGTACGATAAGAGATGGCACACAGCACGTACCCCACGCACACACGCTTGCCTGCACAAAGAGAAAGATTTATTTCTCCGTTCCCCTCCCCTTTTTCCTCTCTTCCTGGCCTGACACAGCCCTTGGATCTATTCCCAGAGCTGACCCCTTAGTGGGGACATTGATGTAGGCTTGCTAATGATGAGAAATGGAACCATAATGCTCGCTGTTAAACCTCGGGGGCGCACAACAAATGTGCTTCCGAGACCCGGCATTTGTCTCTGAATAGATTAGATCCTAGCTGTGGTAACCTTATATTTAATCTCTCTACCTCTCTCACTACCTCCCTCTCTCCCTTCGCTGGGCCAGTAGCTGTTCCTCATGATAAATAATACTTTATCATCCTCTGCCGCAGGCGCATCCGGACTGCTTTAACTGTTGCCATTCCAGAATAACAATGCGATGCTTTTGTCTTTACGTGTGTCATAATTTAACCGCACATGGGATGACGACGCCGGATCTTTAGCGTTTCGTTCCACATTTACATGCCATGCAAGTCCCATGAGCATTTTACCTGGGCGTCCAATTTGGATGTTCTCTGTATGGAATGATAGCATTCCAGCCGATATGAATAATGTGAAGAATTTAGAACACATGCTGTTCAATTTAGTCCGCCTCGTTGTCTTGTTAGTGCGTCTCCTGCGTTCAGTAGGAAAATGAGAGCAAGTTATATTAAGTCTCTCTGAGGAGGTTTTTTTTCCATCCAATCAGTGTGAACAGCTTTTTTTTGTGACATTGTTCTGAAAGCTCTCAGAAAGCGAGATCATATCCTTGTTATTCTCCTCAGAAAAAAAAAAGAGCGGCAACGACACGGAAATCTGATAAATTGGCGCCACAACATATTAAATTATCAATGCACATGAAAAATTCATTCTAGAATGCCTTTCACACTTTCTGAGTCAGTGCGCAATTTACTTTTATCTTGTTAAGGCAGGGAAATTTTATTATGGAAAAATAATGCCACTGTTTTTTTTTTTCCTCCCTAGACTCTCTCTTTCGCTCCCAGTTTCTCTCTCTGATCCATTTTAAATGGTTGCAGTAATGGTGCAGAAAAATAGGCTGAAAATGAGAAATCGCTCATGAGTAGTTATAAATATTCATGTGAACGATAACTATGTTAGGCTGCATTTCTGAGTTCTTCTGTTGTGAAAGTCTGTCCCCACCACAAAAACATCTTATCATGATGATTCTTGGTTAGTCTCAAAGTTCCTCCAAAGTTCTGAAAGGCCGTGGTTCTAGAATGTTTACGTTTCCAAATTCCGTACTTGTTGAATGTGCATTTCTTACGAAACATGATTGGTGGAATGTGCAGTATAATCGTGTGCAGTCTTGAGCCAGACCGAACGACTTCAAAAGGCATAATTTTGCTGCCATGTGGTCAAACACTAACCAATGATTAAAGAAAATTTGTGTAAGCGCTTTGATAAATCCCTTCCTTTATTTGCTGAACAGAAATTTAGAATGGCTTGTTTCATGAAACTTCAGATGCTGATTTGAGTGATTTATAGCCACAATTTTAAATCACACTGTGTGTGGGGCATGTATTTCTTCTAAATAATAATGTGGTTGTAATATATGTTTAACGGCCTTTCTTAATAACAAATTTCCAGCAAGTCTTTCCAAATACACATACAGTATCCAATCCACTCATTTATCTTTACTAAATGACTCTGTCACAAGCAAAAACCATGTAAAGTAGATGCAAAGATGTTTGGGAGCGTCCAAAAATGGCCAAGTTTTTCTCATCTGTCCCTTTTTTTTTTTTTTTGATAAGTAAAAATGAGTGTCAGGAGGTTAAGAATGAGGACAGATTATTTGTACATGAACATGATTTTGTCATTAAGGTAATGTTATTTCAAAACCTTATGCTGTTTATTGTTTTTAGTGCAACACAAAAGGAAAAAAAAAATCATGCTCTTTCCTTTCCAAATGTTGACAATAATAGTGTCCGTGTGTAAAGCTCCAAAAAAGATAAAAAACACCTTAAAAGTAGCTAATATGACTATACCGTATATAAGCCATATCTGTGGGATTTACGTAATGAAATGCCCTCTAGTGACCTGTTAATGTGCAGCTGGATTTGAACTTGTGAACCGAATCAGTCTGATTCTTAAACGCATTGTTCTTCTGAGGCTCTGAGCTGTTTTTTTTTTCTTTTTCCCTTCTTCATCTTTTTTTCTCTAGTGAACCAGTTGATTCATTTCACAAGTCTGACTGATCTGAGTTCTTGTCACCTGGAGGCCAAGAATATTAATGAATAACAACATCAAATTCAGTCTGTTTTTCACGGAAAGCTATTGTATGCCTTTCAAGGACTTGGAATGAAGATTTGTGTTTTTTGTGTGTTTTTTTTTTTAAGCGTAGCAGATGTGCTCACTATGAATTCATATGGGAAAAAAAGCAATGTGACATTTCTCCTTTTGTGTTCAACAGAAGAAAGAAAGTCATATGATTTGGAATGACATTGGGGTGAGTAAATAATGACAGATTTTTCATTTTTGGTGAACTATGCCTTTAAATCTCCCTCATTTATGCTGATCTGCCATGTTTGGTGATGCAAATTGCTGTAACTTGCCCAAGGTGTTCCATCATCAGAGGCAACAACCAATATTGGGTTGTTAAGCCTGAGGATGAGATGCCCAATGAGGCCTGCGCTCTCTCTAACTCTCTGTCTCTCTCTCGGTTGAGCTCTGACAGATGAATCTACAGGGAAAGATAGCTGAAAGGCAACCTGAGGCAACTGGAGCGTCTTTCTCTCTCTCTCTGCCTTTTTTCTCACTCTCCCCATCTCTATGCCTAGCTTGGTCGCTCCTCTTCCTTTTCTGTTTTTGTCTTTATATCATCTGATGGAGCTTTTGTTGCAAACCAGCTTGCACTGTCGGATTGTTCTTTCAAGCTTTACATGACTTTGAATTTCCAGTTCTGTCCTTCATTCTGTAGATCTTCTCTACCCATGATAATAGCTAGCCGGAGGAAAGTTGAAATTGTTCTTCTGTCATCAGATTTGCCTAGTAGCAAAAGCGGGATCTATAGACTGATTTTCCAAGAGTTCCCTTGGCAAAGTGAAAACCTATTACTGTCGACATATGGCACATCTGCGGTGCTAAACTAAAATTCAGTTTGTCTCATTGCTAAGTTTAGTGCCATAACATTTTGTATCTTCATAAACATATTCTGTGCAGGGTTCTTCAGAGATGATATTTCAGTGATTCAGAACAATGATTATTTGTTGTACAAGTTTGTAAATAATGTGTTTATCCATGCATTGTCCTCCCTTGCTTGACTCAAAGGCCTCAAGCTGTTGTTGGTACTTTTTTTTTTTAGGAATTATATTTGCATGATACTGTCTGTAGCCATTTACAAGATTTGATTTGATTTTCTTATAGCAATAAACCAATAAAGATAAAATATAATATGACAATTGTTACATTCGGAGGACCTCAGATGTACCTCATTCATGATCTCTCAGTTGTCTTCTGTTGGTTGTAAGTGTATGCGTGTCTCCATCCCATGTTCTGTTTTTCTCTGAATGCCTGATGGTTTTAATAGGAAGTGTGTAGGAAAGGGGATGACCTATAATCACAATCAGCTGGTAAATAATTACAAGCTGTGCATTCCATGCAAAAACTTCCTAGAAGCACCACAGACATTGAATGCTTTATGGAGCAGGCTACACTATTTAGCCACTGGTCAAAGCAAAACAAGAACGTTGGTTAGTTTGCAACACTGTTTTAGCGTTTAAAAGATGCCATTCATTCGGTTTTCATTAAAGCCAGCCGCAGCTTAAATCCCTTGGAGATAAAATTGCTTTGATTCAGTCAAGCTGTATTACATTGTCTGCAGAGTTTATAGGTCAAGCCCTCAATAAAACACAAGATGTTCAGTTATTTCTGATTTGTGTCCTTTACGCCATTTATTTGATTTGACTGCCAAGCAAATTTGATCTCACAGAATTGACCCACTTGTGGATTAGATTCAGACTTATCATCCTTTTCAAACACAGATTCAGAAACTGTGGGAACCCGTTTCATCTAATCTAGTTGTGATAAGATGAAATTGTCGCAAAGGTGACATCTCAGTAACTGGGATTTTGTGTGAAAATTTCAATTGCACAATTTCTTGTTTTCTGCAGTAGTCTTTTTTTTATTTTATGTTCAAAAAATGTCTTTTTTTATAATAGCTGTTGGATGAACTAAGTGAATAAAATCGCATTGGGATATACCGAGGCAAAGATTGAAAAGAAAGAGAGATTTGAAATTAAAGTATGTTGTTGTAGGGCAATTTGTCAAGTGATTTGTATTGTAATTTTGTAGAATTTATTAGGTCTAACTATAATTTCTTTTGGACCAAACCACAGTAAAGGTTTAATAACCCTATGAATATGTTTGTGAACAGCTCACAAAACATTTTGGCATCTAGGGTATGGAAAAGTTTAGGAGAAAATGTGGTAATTTTTACATTTGACATTTATAAATGTCTGCTAGAGTGAGATTGCATTCTTTTAAAAGAAAATCCGCCTGGTATGATTTAAACTCCGCCTCTCATACATCGATTGCTTTGGTCTTGTCCTGTGCATGTTTTTTTTTAACACACCCAGCGGAGTGGCCGCTTGAAGCGCACTTCAGCTCGCGCTCACTGAACACTCGCTCCCGTATGTGCCTGGAGAGCCTCGCGCAAAGGAGGCGCCGGACGCGCTCAATTCGTGTGGAGACTTTTAAAACCTTCCAGATACGTCGAAAATAAATGGATTCGCTCACTTCGTCGATATAAACGAGATTATCAAGTGCTCAGATCCATGGAATGTTGTTCTGCGGTGTTCTTGCCTGTGAAATCGAGCGGTACTTCTGCTGGGAATCTATTGTTAATGATCTGTCATAGGAGCTTACGCGACTTGGGATTCATATCTGTCGCCTTCACCTTCCCTTTGACTAAAAACCTGATTCTTTTCACCTGAGTGAGGAATGTATGACTCATTGCTGAACAGATATCAGTCTGTCTGATCTGTCGTTGAAAATATCCTCCGCTTCTGACAGCTTTCGCCACCGCAGTCGTTAAAAACGTTCCTCTGAAGATTTATTGTTGGGACAGGTTCGTAATTCTTGTCCGCCTTCGGTCGGTAGAGATCTACGGGAGCTCGGCGAAAGAAATCTGCCTTAGCTTTCATAAGGCATATGCTGGATGTAACGGAATTGCATTGTATTAGACACCTTTCGCAAAATCGGTTCGAGTATTTTTCCCCGATGGAAGCGAATCTAATATAGAATTCGGTAAGATGTTTAATGAATGCTTCTGAAACCTTGTTATGTTTTGCGGGCAATAATTTGATAAACGCAGTGTTTTTTTAATGCTTTTTTTAATAAGAAAAGAGGGGGAAAGACAAATGAAAACCTCACTGCTAGTGTCTGAAGTCTTATGAATAAGGTTTTACTTGAGGTGTTTTTTCCCCCTCAAGCATTGGTATCACAAGCAATTTATTACGTGAAGTCATTGTGTTTTATTCGGTTTAATGCCATTTTTGTGTGTGTATGCACTTTGTTGTGTTTTTATTCAGCACCAAATGATAAGCATTTGAACATCTGAAATCTTTCTTTCACATTTGTCAGTGTCTGGCTTTTTGTATTGAGATTCTTTTTTTCTTTACTTAATTTGTTGCTCTGGCTTTGCATATGGGTCAATGACGTGATGCTTATTTTTGTCTATATCTATTCAATTTTTCAATAATTAATACTTTAAAATGAAAAACACAAAAACGACTTCAATACACATTTTCTATGATATGATATGTTTTCAGTTTCTGAATTAAAATTATTTTTGCCATATTTAGTAGGGTTTTTTTGTAAAAAAAAAATGTCTAGGTGGTGTAACCATCCGAGAATATCTTTATTATTTTTTAAAAAGTCTGAAAAACTTAGTTTGGCATAATCTTTTATTGTTATTTCTTAAAAATAAATAAATAAATAAATATGAAGAAAAAATAATAGGCAGTTATGCAGTTTAAAGTATTAATATTTTAAAATGTTGGTTCGCCAAATCCATGTGCTATTACCAACCTGCAGGAAGCCATTTTGTTGTCATGTGACAAGAAAATTGTAAAATGATAATTGACCCCTTTAAACCCTGACAATTGTTTCAAGGTCATTGAGTTTAATGAAAATATCACATTTGTTCAGGTCAAATAGACTAACTCAGAAATTACATTGTTTTTTACAAGTAATGAAATTGAATTATTATTTCCAATAAATAAATAAATAAAATAAAATACCTTAAAAATGTTGAAAACATTGCTTAAGTTAAGTTGTGTACACAGAGTACTTCAGTAGTTTTTACTTGGTTACACCACTTGATTTTTATAGGCATGAAGTCAGTATTTCTGTTGAAAATGGTATAAGCGTTTGTTTAATGTATGAATCCACAATACAAATATGACATTTCTAATAACTTTTCATCTACTTTTTATTATTCTCCTTTTATTGTCATTGACCCACTGACATTCTTTCTTTCTGTTTATTACACATATGGTGTACATTTGTGAAGCTCTGGCATTGTATATTGAGTTGCATTCATTTCATATTACATAGGATATCTAGACTCTGCCTAATCAGCTGTTCAAGGTTACCCATAAATCCTTTGCATATAAGCTGCGCCTTGAGTGTTTGTGCTTCCTGAGCCTGCCATTTTAATGTCAAAACTACCTATACCAATTGTTATAGCTGGCTACATATGTGGATAGGAATTTTGGACATGGAACCAAATATGAAAGAGCTTGCATTTTAGTTTATTTCAAGTTAAAAGAATGCGTGAAACATCACTGACTTGCATACGGTGATGTAAACAGCTTGCCTCAGGCTGGGTAGAACATAGATCAGAGATTGTGGTGGTTTGTTGTCTGTCTGTATTAGCACTTTGAATGAAATTTGCATAAAGGATTTGCATTGAGACCATTTTAAGATACTCGTCACCACCTTCACAAATCATTTTTATGGCTCGCACTGCATCATTTTACATTGCGGGTGCTTCGTGTGTTGATATATGATAATTATATGTTACTCGCGTTACATAATATTTTATGAATGCACAGTTAATGCAGCAAATTGATTGCCGCATTGCTCAGCTTTATGATGTAAAGCTTTTACACTCAGAAGTTAGAAGTGGATACAGACTACTGTACCTAATTCACATGAGCGTTCCTCCTCTCTGAACTGTCAGGGACTGGGTCAGGTGGCTGTGAGGTCCTAGAATTCACTTGGGTAAGAGCACATATGTTACCTTGGTGGTTGATGAGTGAATATGTAGATTTTTGCCTGAATGATTTATACTCTGATTTCTACTTTCATTACACCATGTAGCAAGTCATTCATAGACTCTTTGCGATATGAAATAACAGTAAGTGAAGCAGAATTATGGTGAGTGTTAAAAGGGCGCCCGTTCACCTTCACCTTCCTCTCCCTCTCCGATAAGTCAAATGTATAATAATTCTTCATTTTTTCCCGTGGCCAGAGGCTAATCTTTAATCTTGTGCAGATGCAGCTCTGGAATTAGCTTGCAAACGCTCCCTCGTTCGGATCTTCAAACCCTCCACTTATCAGGCGCGGAGAGCTGATATGGTGGAGGCCTGGCTCGGCAGTCCTGATAAGAGGGTGAGGAAAAATCTGCCAGCTATTTGTAATATAAGAGTCGAGGCAGATCACAGCCTAGCCTGATATGACAGACCTTCCGGCACGAAGTTAACATCTTGAGTCATCTTAGTCCGTGGAGAAATAAATGGAGTTTTGTAAGAGTAAGACGTGATAAAGGTAGACAAGCGCGGAGCAGGAAAGGGAAATGTGTGTTTGTGCCTAATCTCCATAGTGACTTGATTTATTCGACTGTAAAGTGGATTCATTAATGTTGGTGATAAGGGCGGTTTTTTTTCTTTCTTGAATGTTAATGTTGTCAAGGGTGTTACTGTGTACATTAGCTATCATATTAGATAAACTATCGTGAATTTTAATAATGTATTATTCCGATAAGGATATGAAATACTTTTTTAAAATTATTATTATTATACTATTTCTCTAGAAATATAGCAATATTTCTGTGATCATTTTGAAATCTTCAATCGACCCACTAGAAATTGCTTAGAAACTTGTTTTGCTAAGATTTTGCTGTTAGTTGTGACTTTAGATGCCAGGCAAACACAATTTATTTTGCAGTATTTTTATATCTAGCTTGTTCAAATTGGAGAAATAATTGCTTATAAATTTTTTTATTTATTTTATTTTATTATTTGCTTATTTTTTTCTCTAGCAATAGGTTATTTTTCTGTGAGGCTATATTCTTTTTTTTTTTTTTCTTTTTTTTATAGAATGTGACCTTTCCTATGTGTAAAATGCGTTGAGTTTTGAGATCGCCAGACAATGGACTGCCATAACAATATAGCCCATTTTTCACCTTTTTTCTCTTTTCCCCCACATCTCATCACTTTACTCTTGGTAAAGCCATCTAAGCTTTGTAATGTCCCATCCTCTTTTTTTTTTCTGCTAAATGTCAAACGCTCACACAAGCACACAACAGCAACATGCCAAGGCCTTTTAAATACCTCCAGGTATTGCTGAAGTCATAGGTCAGTGACTCACTGGCTGGGTGAGCTGGATTTCAAGCTGGCTGCACACAGCGGATGCAGCTGAACGGGGCCCGGTGCACACGACACACTGTGTTTCTCTTCCACGGAGACGCTAAAGCTGGATGTCAGGGAGTTATCCTCTCTGCTTGGGTCACGCTGACCGGCTGTGCTGCTGCTGTTGTTTTGTCATAGCCTTGCAGATTAACCACAGCCACTACACTTCAAACACGGAGGCAGGCGGATGAATAATTCCGAGACCCCGCTCTTTAATCTTGTGTGATCCCGTTCCAATTAGCCATTGTGTACGGGTGCATAGAGCCTTGCTTTTTTGTGCAATAAAAGAATGGCACACCAAAGGCGTCCTGTCTCTTTTGTGCAGGGTGTCTCATTCTCTACCTTCAATGTGTTTCATGTGGAGTGTATGTTGAGTGTAGGTGGGTCCATGTGAATGTGAAGGTGGGTCTATTTGCAGGCCTGATAGAGTTTCTAGATTCTTGAGTGAGTATTGAGATTTAGACTGACTCTAGAACAAATTAAGTTTTTATTTGTCCCAAATGTGGCCTTTTCCTGCATTCCTCAGCGCTGTGCTTTCCGGTCAGGCACTTGTGTGTCTTTTGTCACCTTTATAGCTCATAATTAAATGTGCCTGCCTTGTGTGATGTGGGAAATTATGGAAGCTCACAACCCAGACATGCTATTTACCAGCTGTTCTTTCTCTCTAATAATAGAGGAAAGAGACTGAAGTGTAACAGTCCACGCCACCTGAGAGAAGTGCCAAGAAGTCTAAATTCACAGTTACTCTTTGAGAAATTAATTGCTGGAGCTACTTAAAACTCTTAAAACTAAAAGATTTGTATTGGTTTTGATGGTTCCATGAAGAACCTTTAGCATCCATGGGACCTTTTCATTGGACAAAAGGTTCTATAGATTATTAAAATGTTTTTTCCACAAAAAAATTTTTCATTTTAAGAACTGTTTACTGAAAGGTTCTTTTGAGGATTCAGCTATTGCATCGCTATTAAAACCCCCTCGGTACATTTATTTATAAGAGTGAAGGTGCTGTTTTTTTTTTTTACTTATCTCAGACCTTTAGGATGTTAATAGTGTAGTTAAGTACACCTAGCAATAATGTAACTTGTGAATTTTGATTAAGCTGACATGAAAATGCCACCTAGGAACTGCTTACTAACAAAACCCATTTTAATATTTTTGCCATTGTGTCAGTAATTAAGGTTTTGGTGTTTGTTGTGACTTTTAGATCCCAAGCAAACAACTGAACTGTATTTTGCAATTTTTATATCTAAGGCTCTTCTGGTTTAAATGTGGCTGATAAAGTAGACTGAAACAAAGTCCTTTATATGAAAGTGTTCCAGGACGTTTTGTGAAAAATGGCACTCTCTTAGCTGGAGGTCTCTGTGGCTTTTACAGATGCTAAATCAGATGTGCAGTGATTGTTTCAGATTTACCGACTTCCCTTCTTTTCAGGGCATCTGCGCTCTACCATTCACTGCTCTCATATTTCCTTTTAAGCCCTTTCACTGGCACTGGATTAAATCCTTGGTTAATCTGGTCCCTTAGCCGCTTTCTCTCCTTTCTAAGCAGATTTGCACAGGGAGGTTTCATTAGGTGTTTTTCTTTTCTTCCTGGGATGTGTAAAATATATGG